TGACCTGCTAGCCTGTCACCATATGTGGCCAGAAGTACCCATGAGAGAAGGTTGGTTTTTAAAGATTCTAAGTAGCACAGGCATTTAGACTAATGAAATAGCTGCCCAGCACAGTAAATCTAAACTCATTCCAAATACAGGGGGATAATGGAGAATGTGATAGGAGAAAAAAGGTTGTATATTCAAACTTTGTTACATCTAAGAAGTTAAGGAAGAGAATGGGTCATTCACTAAAACTGTTATCCAAGTCAGTTTTATGGTTATAGAATTTTTGTTTTAACACGTATGATTGTGACAGAAGCCTTTCCATTTTATCTTAATGTCATTGTCTACTTAGGAGTATTCATGAGCATATTTCAATCAGCATTGAATTCAAATGGTTAATAAACTTTTGCATGCTGTATAGCCATTTTTTATTTTTAAAAAATCAGACTGAAAAAACTTGAAATAGATGGTATCATCTAGCTTTTTTCACAATATACATAAAACATTGTTTTTTAAAAAGTGGTATCAAAGTCTACTGCTTAGGTAGATAGGGTAGTAGACAGGCTTATTTATAAATACTTAAAAAAATAATAAATATATTTGATTTCTTTTTCTTTAAACAGGGAAGCCTATAGCAAACTTTTATCTCACCTTGGACAAGTGGGACAAGACGAGATGCAGAGACTGGAAAATGATGATACCTAATATACTTTGTGATTCACTTTCTTTGTTGATTATCAAAATCTAAAGACACTTTGCGCTCCTCTGACTCCTACTTTTAATTAATTGTATAATGTTCTTTTAAAAAATGCTTTCTTTTTAAGATTTTTCCGTACATACTTGTAAGTATAAAGTATATAAATAAGGAAATAAAGGCTAATTTAACTATGTTGCAGGATCCTTGGAATTGAAGAAACTTTTTCTAACTGGGAGTAAATTGTACTGGTTAACTCCAACTTTTTAGTTTGATTTGACTTCCTGTCTTGAGTCTTGATTTATGTATATTTATTCTTTTTTTTTTTTAGGGTTTTTATATGTTGTTGTTGTTGTTTGCCATCGAGTCGGCCCCGACTCATAGCGACCCCTCCTTGGGTTTCCGAGGCAGTATCACTACGGAAGTAGGATTGCCCAACCTTCCTTCCG